TCTGTTAGTACTTACAGCAGACTATATTTCAGGCCTAATTCACAAAACAAAAATTTCACCAAACGGAATTACAAAAAAATTTTTTTACATTAAAATATTATAAAAAATTATATAAAATAAATATACTTATTTTTATACTTATTTAATTATTTACAAACGCATGGAAGCCCACAAAAAACATGCATTTGTCTCTGGCCTTTCTTATGCATTAGAAATAATGTTTAATTTATTTATAATATTAAATTGATGTATTTATATGGAAGCCCACAAAAGCCATGCATTTGTAGACTTTTTCAAGTGATATGCATACAAAATATATTTTATTTTATACAACACATATATATTTATTTCCAAACATACACAATTCCATAATAGCCATGCATCTGTATCTGGCTTTTCTCAAGGTAAATTCATTAGAAATATATTATATTTTTGTTTATTTATTTCTACACATACTGAAGCCCAAAAAAGCCATGCATTTATCTCTAGCATTTCTTGAGTTCATATGCATTAGAAAAATATTTATTTTATACATGCATATTTATTTATTCAAACACATGAAAGCTTAAAAAAATCATGCATTTGTCTCTGGCTTTCCCTGAGTTTTTATGCATTATAAGGTTTGCTAGTAGAAAAACCAGAGCACCATTGCCCAAATCCCTCTCTCTCCAAGACACCAAAACCCAGAGCATCAACATTCAGCTTTTCCATGGCAGAGGGGGGTCTTTGGCACTCAGCATGCTGGGAAATCATTCAATTTCTCTGACATTTATTTGTTTGCCTTTGATGAAAGTCACACAGCCGTTAATGAAGGCTGAGATCAGCCGTACGGATGGAGCATCGCGCTGCTGGGATTTACTCACTTTTCCCACTTTCCAGCAGCTCTCATCTCACACAACTTTTACAGGCTACAAGAACTATTTGCTCATTTTGGGATCATTTCAGGATAACATACCAGCAGATGTTCCCCCTCGAAGGCTCCGTACACACATCAGTGCATCAGTGGATCAGGATCGAGTCAGTAAAGTGACCCCCCTCAGATCTGATGAGTTTAAAGTGATGTAAGAGCGCTGGGGACGCGGTACGGTGAGACCACACACACTAGACTCAATGGCATTTATAATAAATCACACATCAGCTGGAAAAAATCAATCTGACAATCACATTAAAGCTCCTGAGCCCAGATGCTTCACTGTGTTGCATCAGCAAAATAAAAATGGAGAGTAAATTTAGGCCTTTGCTAAAGTCTCCTACTTCTGATGTTTCTTTACCGCTCTTTCTTTACCGTTTTCTGAAGTTTTAGTTTTAGTTGCGGCTCAAAGACGTTTGAATCAATCACATATTAGCTTCAGAAAATCATCCAGACTATCACAATAAAGCTCCTGCAAGATGCTTCACTGTGTTGCATCAGCAAAATAAAAATGGAGAGTAAATTTAGGCCTTTGCTAAAGTCTCCTACTTCTGATGTTTCTCCTGCAAAAAGTCCCCACTAATCTCACGTTTCTCCTCTAGTTTCAAAAGAGATCTCAACAATGTCTCATGATGCTCAGACCAGATTTGGCAGAATAACTATAGTTTGCGATCAAAAGTCTCAACTCAAACATTTCTCATCAAACTGTTCAACGGCCAAATGATCTAAGCTGGTTTCCATGTAAAGCTCTTGGCATATTTTGACTATTATTAACTCAATAGTGTCTATCATACTTTCATTTGGTTTTAGTTTACCAAAAAGAGTTTTAGTTTTAGTTTTAGTTTTAGTTGCGGCTCAAAGACGTTTGAATCAATCACATATTAGCTTCAGAAAATCATCCAGACTATCACAATAAAGCTCCTACAAGATGCTTCACTGTGTTGCATCAGCAAAATAAAAACGGAGAGTAAACTGAGACCTTTGCTAAAGTCTCCATTTAGATGTTTCTCCTGAGAAAAAGACTGCAGTAATTTCAAATGCATCTCCTTTAGTTTCGAAAGAGAAAGTCTCATGATGCTCAGACCAGATTTGCCAGAATAACTTAAGTTTGCGATCAAAAGTCTCAAAAGTCAAACATTTCTTATCAAATTGACCAAACGAGCAAATAATTAGACATGTTATTTTAAAGCTCTACTCTTACAGTATGTTGACTATTAAGGTCTATAATCTTTCTTTTATTTGGTTTTAGTTTTAACGAAATTAGTTTTACTTGCAGCTCCTCACATTCGATTCAAAGACATTGGCATCAATATCAGTGCCAGGAAAACCAGCTCTGGATGCTATATGTCTGTTGACTATAATACTCTAAATCAATCGTTATTTAATTTCCTCTAGGAAGGATCTGTTTTAGATGTCTGGTGTTTTGTTTCCATTGAACACATAAAGTTTTCTCAAAGATTTCAGCTAAAACACTTGTAGGTGTGACATCACCTGCCAAAGTCGAGTAGTTTCGAGTTTGGCTTGCGTTTCGGCGCCTTTCGGTACACCACAAGTCAAAATAAAAAAGCAGTTCGGCACAGCCATCCTGGAAAATCACAAAGCGTCCTCAAAATCCATCGGTCATGTCTGTCTTTTGAGTGTTTTCCAGTACACAAATCCTGCGAATGACTAAACGTACTGTTCAGCTGTTGTGACAGGCGGGTCAGAGACAACACACAGGCCTCATACGTTATTTCAGAGCTGGCAGGACTTCTGTGGAGGAAAGCAGGATAAATTATCAGCAGGGAATGAAAGCCCACCTGTAAAACACTATCAGCGTGTAGGAACGAGACGGAGAGAGAATGGAGCTGTAATGGTGGAAAGTCTGAGCGTTTCTTGGATGTTCTGCACGATCGTCAAACACACTTGAACTCTAGAGTATAAAGAATGGACGTGCTTTACTCCAGTCTTCCATTGTTGTTATTTATTTGACCTAATTACCGCGCAAACCAACGGCCGATTTTCAAACTCAGCAGAGTCATTTTAACGGCCGCACTGGCTGCGGTTTTTGGCGGGAAGAAGAAACCATGACTCAAGTCAGTACCGAAGCTTTCGCGTTGTCCGAGCGAACTGGATTGGACAATTACCTCAACCAGCAGGGAAATCAATCAGGCCGCAAGCGTGGGAAACATCTGTACAATTTAGATGAGCGGCTGCTGCCGGGCCATGAAAATTACCCGGGATTATTGGTTCAGAGGATTTCCCGCCTCTGTACCTGCGCGCCACGATCCTGTGAGGCGGGAAGCGTAACGCCTCAGACAGAAATGAAGTAGTGTGAGCCGATTGCTTTTCAACACGGTTCCGTGGATTGCAATGAAAAAGCTTTCCATTTAAATAAACACGAAATGGGCTTTGGCTCACAGCACCGTGTTTTAAAGCGCGGCTTCGAATCTTTTACAAATAAAGAGAGCCGAGTGTGATTTTCAGAGCAGTTAAAAGCAGTTCAAACAGAAGGAAACGAGCTGCACCCCTCTGGCTTTCCCTGAGTTTTTATGCATTATAGATCGTTATAGTCCAGGGCTGTCCAAACTCGGTCCTGGAGGGCCGGTGTCCTGCAGAGTTTAGCTCCAACCCTAATTAAACACACCTGAACCAGTTAATCAAGCTCTTACTAGGCATAGAAACTTCCAGTCAGGTGTGTTGAGGCAAGTTGGAGCTAAACTCTGCAGGACACCGGCCCTCCAGGACCGAGTTTGGGCACCCCTGCTCTAATTGAACATGAGGAAAATACCACCCAACTCCAATCTGGGGGCTGTGTGAAAAATGTGATTAAATAAAAATGATTTTAATCCACAGAAAATGACCTAAAGTAGATGTACAGATCCTTTAGTCCATTTCTTGGAATCCTAAAAGTTGACTAAATTGTCTTTAATAATAATCTTGATTAATTATATTATGTAATCTGGTGTATGTAAAGTGCTGCTGAAGTGGAGAAAAAATCGCAGCCTTTGAAGATAGATAAACAGATGCAGTAAAGAAAAATAAACACTTAAAATTGTATTTTGGACGTTTTCTTCCACTAGTCTGAAAGACATGTTATGGGCAAAATCTCCTCTCATTAGTTGGTGAACAGAGCCCTCTAGTGAAAAGACATAAACACAGCAGGTTTAGTATGTAGTGCACACCCAACACAGAAGTGCCTAAAACTGCAATTCATCGACTGGCCGCTAGAGGCTGGCTCCAAAAGGGAGTCAGTCCCATAGACTCTCCATGTTAAAATGCCCAACTTCGCTGCCAAGATGGCGACGGCCGCCTCCGCCCACTTTTGAGCTTCAAAAACGCTCTTCGGAAACCTACGGGTGACGTCACGGACACTACGTCCATGTTTTTATACAGTCTATGAGTGCACAACTCTGATTTTCTGTTAAACAAATATTTAAAGATTGTTTAAAGATAAATAATTTAAAGATTGTATGAATGTATTAGTGAATGTGTCTGTACCGTTCAAAAAATTGTAACAGCTTCCGCCAACATACATAGTTTTTACAATTGTTTCTAATGTAATTTTATATGAATTTATTATTTTTAAAGTTATGACATTAATGCATTCTCATTCAGTTTTCATCTGTGTTATTTAGTTTTATTTCTTTAATGACACCTTTTCGTTTGGTTCTCATCATAGTCACATTTTCTCATTTCTTTTGTACATACATTTGTAGCCTAAATGTGTAATTTTTCCATACTCGTTTGGGGAAAAAAAGAAAGATATTTCTAAAACATTTTTATTGTACAAAACATTTTCTTTGGAGTTGATTTTCTTAGTCTGTAGTCGTTATATAAAAATGATACGTCCTCCTCAATTATATACGTAAAGCGTGCGTGCGCGTCTACGCGCTGAAGTTCTTCCTGTTCTCGTACCCCGCACTTCCGGTCGGCCCGACACGCCGTTGTTGGATCTGTTACATGCGCACTGAGTCGCTTGAGCTGGGCGGATGATTTATTGTACAAAACATTTTCTTTGGGGGTGAGTCTGTAGTCGTTATATAAAAATGATACGTCCTCCTCAATTATATACGTAAAGCGTGCGTGCGCGTCTACGCGCTGAAGTTCTTCCTGTTCTCGTACCCCGCACTTCCGGTCGGCCCGACACGCCGTTGTTGGATCTGTTACATGCGCACTGAGTCGCTTGAGCTGGGCGGATGATGATGGCGCGTTAAAGTTCACGGTAAGATGTGGTAAACTTTACCTTATCCATACATTTACACGGTCGCGGCATGTTTTATTAATTTATATGAAAGTTCCGCGCGAGTCTTTTGTCTGACAGCGCGCGCGGCGGCGTCATCATATTCATCACATTCACAACAATCTTATCCGCCAATTAAGCCGATAACTCACTTAACTACCCACGTGTGTTAGTTAACACTACACAACGCGTGTCGGTTTTGTATCTCGGTTGCCGTACGACGGAAGTTTGTCGTTATTTCGGCGTGTTTTTCTCCGTCTGTCACGCCACGTTCGCTGAGATTCGGCACGCGCGTGACACGCTTGTCGGTTAGCAGCGCTAGCGCGGGAATAAGTCGGTTATTTTGATAAATACGAGATCGTAGTCGCGAGTTAAGCGAATATCTGAGGTAAATATAATTTTATGGTACAAATGTAATAGTGTTTTGGGTTAGTGGATCATATGGAGTTGATTAAGCTCACTATTGGGCCCGTGTTGCATCAGAAAAAGTACTGTAACACTAACAGAGGTGCTGTCAGATGATAATAGATTACCATATTATTTACACTTAAAGAATACTGTAGAACTGCTATGCGTGTCAAAACACTATGATATTACTATGGTACCACGTCCTAAAAGCATTATGATGCCATACCAGGATATTTTGACGCTTTTATTAGTGTACACACAGTGAAAGAGTGAGTCAGTCGTGCTGAAAGAGTGCTGATTCAGCATGTGTGTATTTGTTTGGTCACTTATCAGTTGTTCTGATGAGGTCATTTCAAATTCTTCAGTGCATATTGATGTTGAGTTAAATAATAATCAGCAAAATTTGTCAAAGCCCTGTTTGTCTAAATAATGATATTTAAAGGTGTCTTTACACAGATGAGTTAAGGCTGCTCAAAATTAAGTGTAAAGACCAAAGCTGGACTGAATAATGCTAGTTCTGACTCTGCTTAGCCCAGGTATCAAAGTATACAGTTGTAAATGCATTTGTGCCACTTCTGAGCAACATAAAAAGTGTGTTAAAGACACCTAAATGCCACTTCAGAAGCGCTTATGTGCCACCTTTGCTGTGTAAAGATGATGGTCTGACACTCACATGGGTGTATAACCTGAAACAGCCATGCTTATCTCATTATACTGTAATATTTTTATATTACTTTGTAATTACTATGTTATTACATCACACAAAACTATGTAAAGTTGACTCATTTTTGTTTACGTTTTTGCACTCAGAATCTAAGCAAAATTCACACATGGAATTAGTTAAGTAAAGTTAATAAACATACTTTTTTTTGTTCCACCTATGCAGTTTCAGTTAATGCAACAAAAATGATTAATGTAGTTAATAAACACAATAAATACATTTTACATATTTAAGTGGACTGAAGACAGTGAAATTAAGTTTTAATTAATTAAGTTAAAATGTCTTTCCAGTGTGATCTCTGTGCCATTTTACCACAACAGCATTGTTTTTAATGATCGATTGTTATATTGACAGATTAATAAAACCTTTTTGATCAGAATCAGTGTCAGACTGTTTACTTGTTGTATTAACAGTTGTTAACTTGCTCATTGCTAATGCTCTTAATTACTTATTTACTAGTTCTGTCAAACGATTAATCGTGATTAATCGCATCCAAAATAAGTTTTTGTTTACATTGTATATATATATTTGTATGCTGTGTATATTTATTATGTATGTATATATAAATACACACACATGCATGTATATATTTCAAAAAAAATTGTTTATATATTAAATATATTTATTTAGAATATAAATTATATAAATATAAACGTGTAAACACATGTAAATATTTTCAAAATATATACTGTATGTGTGTGTATATATAAATATACACAGAACACACACAAATTATGCAAACAAACTTTTATTTTGTATGCGATTAATCTCGATTAATTGTTTGACAGCACTGTTATTTCTTTAGTCATTAAATGTCTTATGCAGTAGTCAACATTTGAAGTGGATCTAAAAAGTTCGTCAAAGTTGTCCTAAGACAAGAACGCGTTTTAGGACAACTTTGATGAAAGGTTTTGATCTACTTCAGATGTTGACTTCTGTAGTCATTAAAATGTATTCTTGTATTAATATTATATCAGCAATTGGTCATCCTGCTCTCTAGTTTATCAGTATACCAATTAACAGTCGAGCACTTTTTTTCTTTTGCAAGACTTTTTTTTTTTTTTTTACATTATTATGTTATTGTGTGTATTGTGAGATATTAAAGCCTGACTCATGTTTATGTGGATACCTGTGTCTCTCTCAGATGTGTGTGTCCTGTTTGGAGATTTGGGATAAACTGATCGAGGACAGCAGCTAACCCACGTATGGCCTGCGAGTCGGCGTTACCTGCCATCATGGACGAGCAGGCCCTCATGGGACTGAACCCCAACGCTGATGCCTGCTACAGGCAGAGGGTGAGCGCAAAACACTACAGCAGATCTTTCAGTAAACATATACACACTTAAATCATTCATTTACTCACAAATGTCTGCAGAATTCAGATTCGGTCCCTGGCACATTTGTTTACATATTTTGCATAACTAATACTCTTGAGTGCATCGTAAATAAAACAGTCTTTACTCATATTCACTGTGTTTTTTTTTTAGGCGCTGGCATATTTTGAGCAGTTGAAAGAGTCTCTGGATGGATGGGAGGTGTGCGCTCAAGCCCTGGCTAAAGGGGTTTACAGGTAAGATATACTGCATACTGCAGGATGCTATAGTATTTCACATAATAACATTGATTAATGCGATGCGTTTGTGTTTCTCTGTCAGTGACGATCATGTAAAGTTCTTCTGCTTTCAAGTCTTGGAGCATCAAATCAAATTCAGGTATCACTGAATCTTTGTATTCATATAAACTCTGAAAATTGAAAATGTGCATTAACTGATAAAATGTATACCTTGAATTAGGGCTGGACAATAATTCAATATCAATATGTATCGCGATATAATTTTTTTCAATAACGGTGATATGATTTTTAAACACATTTCTGATATTTCGATATACATTACCAGTTTCCCATACATTGATTTATTTGTGCCGTTTGACTTCGTTGAATAAACATGAGCAAAATTAAGAAATATATCGTGATATCAATTTTGGCCCTACCTTGAATGCAAAGCAAGTCGCTTTGGATAAAAGCGTCTGCCAGATGTATGAAGGTTTATATTTTATGTTGGATATTTTGATTAAACATTACAAGGTCCAAAAAACTAACATGCACAGATGAATTGTTCACAAAAAGATCTATAAAATGCATTTAGAAAATATATATAAGGTGCATTTTAATTTCAAGCTGACTTTAAACCTAGAAAACAAAGAGAAGGATGTGTATTTAGAGGGAGACTGTGCCAGTCACATGCTAATTAATGTAGAATTAATCGCATAACTAATTAGACGTGGCTCTAAAATTGATAACTCCTGGTCTGATTTTGTTCTGGGTTTGTTTTCATTAAAACATCCCTATAATGTCAATGTATCCACCTTATTTTTAACATGAAAGCAGGTGAGGCCATTTGTAACTTGAATTTGTTTTCTGATGTCATTTACTTTATTTTAGCTGTACAAAACCAGTCTGTTATGCTGCTTGATAAGCATAGAAAAGAAGCTTTGAAAAATAAGGTGGATAGTTTCGTGCAGTTTTTAAAATTGTATAAATGCTGTGTTTTGCAGACACGGGTCGCTCACTGCAGCTCAACAGCAGCTGATCCGAGAGACCCTGATGAAATGGTTGCAGGCTCAGGTTAGTATTGTTCACCGTTTCATTGATATTCATGTGAATGATGAAAAATCCAGCTGAATCATTTGAAATATGATTTCCTTTCATGTATTTGCATTATTGTTTAGTTGATGAACGTGCATCCAGAAAAGCCCTTCATCAGGAATAAGGTGGCGCAGGTTTTGGCCCTGACGTTTGTGATGGAGTATCTGACGTTATGGCCCAAGTTCTTCTTTGACATCCTCAATCTGGTGGGACTGAATCCGAACGGTGTGGACATTTATCTGCGCACACTGATGGCTATCGATGCTGAGGTGGTTGATCGGGATATCCTGCACAGTCCTGAGGTAAAACCGGCCCAACTCAAGGAGAAATCTGTTTTCTGCTCCTGTAATGCCATTAAAACGTCTCTCTCTGTCCTACCTCAGGAGACACGCAGAAACACTCTGATTAAGGACAGCATGCGCGAGCGGTGCATCCCGGCGCTGGTCGAGTCCTGGTTCCAGATCCTTCAGACATACCAGCACACCCACAGTGAGCTGACCTGCCAGTGTCTGGAGGTGGTGGGCGCATACGTGTCCTGGATCGACCTCAACCTCATCGCCAATGACAGGTCAGAGTAGCTCTGATGAAGGTCATACATATGTGACTCTGGAGCACAAAAGCAGTCATAAGTAGCACAGGTATATTTGTAGCAATAGCCAACAATACATGGTATGGGTCAAAATGATTGATTTTTCTTTTATGCTAAAAATCATTAGGCTATTAAGTAAAGATCATGTTCCATGAAGATATTTTGAAAATTACCTACCATAAATATATTAAAACTTAATTTTTGGTTAGTAATATGCATTGCTAAGAACTTCATTTGGACAACTTTAAAGATGATTTTCTCAATGGTTTGAATTTTTTTTTGTTTTTGTTTTTTTTGCACACTCAGATTCCAGATTTTCAAATAGATGTATCTCAGCCAAATATTGTCCTATCCTAACAAACCATACATCAATGGAAAGCTTTTATACAGCTTTCAGATGATGTATACATTTAAATTAAAAAAAATTGACCCTTATGACTGGTTTTGTGTTCCAGGGTCACAAATGTGACTCGCGCAAATATATCGTCAGACTGACTCCAATGAATTTCCTTGAGCTTCCTGTCTGTTTATGTGACAGCTGTGTGTTTGTGTAGGTTTGTGAATCTGTTGCTCAGCCACATGTCCATGGAGGAGCTGCGTGAGGAGGCGTGCGATTGTCTGTTTGAGATCGTCAATAAGGGCATGGATCCTGTTGACAAAACCAAGCTGGTGGAGTCTCTGTGTCAGGTGCTGCAGTCCGCAGGGTTCTTCAGTATCGAGCAGGTGTGTGAATACATAATTGTTCTGGAAAGTGTTCATCAGGGTTCATCAACCCCTTTCAGGAACTAGTTTTATTCTGTTGATGCATTTAAAAAGGTTTTTAACCAAGTAAATCCAATTTAGTCTTAGGGTTTTTGAAACTTGAACATCTTATTTAGTTTTACCTTTGAAAATCTAAACCTGACTCTCGCCATGAATATAGCCATAGAAACTGGCATGGCTTTAAAAAGAAAAAGAAAAAATTATTTTAAAAAAAATTATTTTAAAATAAATTTTACAGTACAATATTAAAATGATATTCTTACTTTTGTAGTTGTACTAAATTGGTCAAAAACAGTGGCAATTTGGCCTATGAAAACTATATATGTCAGAAATGTTCACCTAATCACTTGAGTATTTTAATTTAAGAATTAATAATTCTAGAAAGAGTGGGATGAATTTGTTGGGGATTGTATTTGCGTAGAAAATAATAGTAAGTATTTTTTTAAATCTGGAAAAATGACTTTGCAACAAGGCTGTCAAAATGGCTGAAAAACTCAATTCGAATTTATTAAATATTATCAATATTCAAATTATATTCGAATTTAAAAGGCATAACTTCAGTTGGGGGAAAAAAAACTTTTGGCTTCTCTCCTGAGGCCACAAGAGGGCGCATCGAGCTAAATATTACTAATGCACGTTCCTTCAAAGCAATAAAATAACACGACTATCTTTGAAAAAATTGCATAATGTTTAAAATAATGTTTATAAACCTATAGTAGAATTATTTTGCAGTACAATTATAAAATCACATTAATATTTACACCTTAATTTAAAAATATAATTTTATTTATATATATATATTTTTTTTTTTTTAAATGTTAAACCATCAAGCTTTTATTTTTTGCAGGTTGCCGGGAGTAGCGCTTTTCACTTTGAAACCCCATATAGTTGCCCATATATTTGTTAAATTACAATCGCACTAAGCCGTATCGTGATATCGATTTTGCTACATCTCAAGTTGCATGTTAATCAGTCTTAAGACTGATTTCTCATCTGTCACGTCCATCAGGAGGAGGATGTGGATTTTCTGGCTAAGTTCTCTCGGTTGGTTAACGGGATGGGTCAGTCTCTGGTGCTGAGCTGGACTAAACTCAGTAAGATGGGCGATGTCAAGGTTTCGGCGGAAACGTTGCGCGCTGTGGAGGGGAAGGTTCCCCTGATGCTGCAGCTGCTAATTCATGAAGATGACGATATTTCAGCCAACATCGTGGGCTTCTGTTATGACTACCTGCATGTTCTCAAACAGGTACACATGCTAAACCCTCATTTTGAGACTGACAGATGATCTACCCATGATTCTCATCTTCAACTTGCTGTGTTTGTGTTTTTCAGCTTCCAGCTCTCAATGAGCAGCAGAAAACAAACGTGGAGGTACGACAGCATCACAGGCTCATATGTGACCCTGGAGCACAAAACCAGTCATAAGGGTCAATTTTTCGAAATAGAGATTTATACATCATCTGAAAGCTGAATAAATAAGCTTTCCATTGATGTATTTGTTAGGATAGGACAATATTTGGCCGAGATACAACTATTTGAAAATCTGGAATCTGAGGGTGCAAAAAAAATCTAAATATTGAGAAAATCATCTTTAAAGTTGTTCAAATGAAGTTCTTAGCCATGCATATTACTAATCAAAAATTAAGTTTTGATATATTTACGGTAGGAAATTTACAAAATATTTTCATGGAAAATTATCTTTACTTAATATCCTAAGCATTTTTGGCATAAAAGAAAAATGAATAATTTTGACCCATACTATGTATTGTTAGCTATTGCTACAAATATACCCCAGCGACTTAAGACTGCTTTTGTGCTCCAGGGTCACATATCTCAGCTGCATGAGTGTAAATTAATGCTGTTGTTTATGATTGTTGTTGTCTTGCTAACAGGCGATCATGCTGGCTGTGATGAACAAACTCAAGTACGATGACGAGTATAACTTTGAAAATGAGGTCAGTGTGGAAAGCGTGTTTTTTTTTTTTTTTTTAGTGCTTTGGCAATATAAATGTTCAGTGTTTGTGCCAACAAAGTGTTTACAGTATAACTGTGTAATAATTGCCAAAATGTTGTTGTTGTTGTTATTACAATTATTATTATTATGTTAGAGCCATAATGATATATAAACAATTAAAATTTGTACTAAATAAAAAATTACTAAATAACAAAATAAGAAATGTTACAATTGTAACATTTCACTGTAAAAATAGGTATAACTATTAAAAAAAAATAATAATAAAAAATACTGTAAAATTATATTGTTTAATTATTATATTTAATTATAATAAAAAATAAATATTTATGGCCGTCTTAAAATCTTAAACCATCTAACTTTTATTTTGATAGAAGGAATGAGCAGAACTGAACTGAACTTTTGTGATTTTTTTTATTTTTTTATAAGTCTTTAAGTGTTTTTTGACTGTACAGCATATTAGGTAATGTTTTTACTCAGAAATTACTTAAATTACATACTTATATTTTTGTCCAATGGTTTATCCTACCAAAATATCACAATCGTTATCAAATATCAAATTGAAAGATTGCTAATAATTATTTTTATTTATCTTTTTTTTCTCTCTCTAAAAAATTGAGTTATAACATGCAATTCATTTGATTATTACTGTTATTTAGACTATTTTAAATGTTGTTACTTTTGAATTTGCCATGAATATAGCCTTCAATGTTGATATGGAACTATGAATATCAAATATCATATAAAATGCTTTAATTATTTAGTGAAATAAAAAGTTTGACAAAAACTGCAGGAAGGCCTTAAAAAGTCTCTTTTGTTAATTTGAACTTCTCATTTAAAGTATGGGAAGATGGTTGGTGCATATTGCATTCCCAAATTCATGTTAAAGCGACTTCTGAAACTCAACACATCTGTTTAATTTTACAATCGCACTAAGCCATATTGTGATTTTGGTTTTGTTATGATAAATTGTTCAGCCCTGATCTAAAATACAGTGTTTGTTTCTCTCAGGGCGAGGATGAGGCCATGTTTGTCGAATACAGGAAACAGTTAAAGATGTTGCTGGACCGACTGGCTCAAGTCTCTCCTGAGCTTCTGCTGGAAGCCGTGCACAGAGTCTTCAACGCCACCATGCAGTAAGACACAAACCTGCACTAGGGATGCACCGATACCACTTTTTCCAGTACTCGCCCGATATCGATTCTTCTATTTTTGGTACTTGCCGATACCGAGTACCGATACCGATATTTTTATTGCATTTGTACATTTTTTAAATATTGGGTACAGAAACCAAAAGGGTATGTATAATGTTAGTTCTGGTTAACTTCATTTATCAAATAGATACAGCCAAACCAAAATGTATTCAGACACCTTCAACATTTCTCACATTATCACAGTTTATTGGCTATAGTTTAGAAAATGGTAATAAAATATGACAAGAACTTACACTTACATATGACAGAGTTACACTGTGTCAGAACAAATTCAGCTTGATAATGTTAGATAACTTTGATAGAAAGGTATGTAATAGATTACAATCAACCAAAAATAATTCAGACAGCTGTTAGTATGACAGTATTTACACAACTAGCAATACTTAGTCGGGCAACCCTTAGCCTTAATGACAGCCTGTAGTCTCCTAGGCATGCTGTCACCCAGCTTCATGCAAACCTCAATTTCAGTTTTTCGATACCAGTATCGGTATCGGTGCATCCCTAACCTGCACAGCACGCTGGGAAATACCACAGAAAAGAGTGTTTTCCTTGTTCTTCTGAGATGAGAGTTTGACGCTCTAGTGTTTAGCACTCGTAGACTCCGCAAACCTGATTTGTCTGTTTTCAGATGTCTTCAAGGTTATGATATCACAAACCTGAGCTTGTGTGACCCATATTTAAAGGGGTCATATGTCGTTGCTAAAAAAAACATTATTTTGTGTATTGTTTTTTTTTTTAATCTTAAACTGTTTATGCAGTTTAAGATGAAAAAAACACATTATTTTCCACATACTGTACATTATTGTTTCTCCTCTATGCCCCGCCTTTCCGAAACGCGTCGATTTTTACAAAGCTCATCGGTCTAAAAAGCGAGGTGTGCTGTGATTGGCCAGCTATCCAGTGTGTTGTGATTGGCCGAATACCTCAAGCGTGTGACGGAAATGTTACGCCCCTTACCATACTGTGATGCCCTGTCCGGCCAGAGCGGCGAGACAAAAACATAAAAACCCATTATAAACGAGGCATTCGTTGCATACAGCAGGGACATAATTACTGATTATAATGACTTATACTGTCTTTATATATAAAACCATGTCTGCATTTGTGATCGGAGAAACGACAAACAACAAGTGCTACTCTACACTGCCCAAAAAACTCGCGTTTGAATCATCAGTGGCAAATTCTTTAAATATGAAAGCGTACTTGCAGTCTGTGAGTCAGAACACCGGCATTGTAGTCTACTCTCTCAGGAAACAGTCCTCGTCCTCCGTAAAATGCATTGCACACATCTGAATATTTGGTTTGAACTGTTCTGGAACAGTGTTGTAAATACAACTTAACCACTTTGAGAATCAAAGTTACACCACCTTTCTTTGCGTGAACATTTGACCTGTGTTATGCAAATCTTCCCACACAGTGACGTGTTTAAATTAGACATTTTAGGAGGGCGTAGACGAGTCTTAACTTTTATAAAGAATATCTCTTTGGGTTTGAGACTTTAGTCTTTGCAACTTTAGGGATCTTATCTATGCACGAACAGCTTGTAACACTCCAAAGAGAAAGGAAAACTTGAAAGCGCATCATATGACCCCTTTAACAAATCATAAACTTGAAAGCCCATCTAAAGACATTTTATCACTGATTTCTGTGTGTGCGCAGGAACTGGCAGACGGTGCAGTTCATGGAGGTGGAGATGGCCATCAGGCTGCTGTATATGTTGGGTGAAGCTCTCCCTGCGTCTCACGGAGCGCATTTCTCTGGAGACACCACGAAAACCAGCACGCTGCAGTCCATGATGAGAACTGTGAGAATAACATTTGTCATTTCTCTCTAAAGCTTTCTGAATGAAAAGACAGCTTGAACAAATCAGTCTCTGGCTGCACAAAAGAACGTGATGTTGTGTATGTGTTTGTGTAGCTGATCATCTGTGGCGTGAGCGAGTATCAGCATTCCTCTGTGACTCTGGAGTTCTTCGAGACCGTCGTCCGTTATGATAAGTTCTTCCTCGTCGAGCCGCAGCATATTCCTAGTGTTTTGGTGAGTGTTCGAAGCCTGTTCCTTTGACTAATTTCACTCAGTTACCCTGCAGTGAGATTGGTTTTGTGTCACTCATAGTTTAAACACTTTTGAGATGTGAGAATGATGCAGTCAGATTTAGTTTGACCCATAAAAGCTGTGTTTTTGTTTGATTTAGATGGCGTTTTTAGACCATCGTGGTCTGAGGCACAGCAGTCCAAAGGTGCGCAGTCGAGTGGCTTATCTGTTCTCGCGCTTCATCAAAACCCTGTAGTGAGTTACTCTACAGCTATATACATGCACTCACACTAGGTGAAAGGCTCAATTTATATTAGCCTATTAGAAATTTCTCTATTTGTTTTTATATGCTCCTTATTCATTATTTTTTATACAGAGCTGTCAGTCAGTTAAACATACAGAAAATTATACATTTTTCCTTAATCACAACTAACATTAAAATTTGTTAAAATTAGATCTCAGAATTTATTTAGTAACAACAAAACAGTCCATTTTAAATATTTGTTTAATAGCAATCATTTTAAGTACTATGAATGAATACTAATGCCTCTATTAAATGTTTTTTATTCTTTTTCTGAAAATGAGTAATTATAGCCATTTAACATTAACATTACGGTACAATTGAAACCCTCACTTTTAACATTTAATAGACCCAAACTGCAAGTTATCAAATAGTTTTTATTCATTTATTAACAATTACAGAATATTAAAAAACCTTTTAGTTTAAGTTTTTTTTTTTTAATCATGTTAATTTTTAACATATTGAACAGTTATTAATTAGCAGATATTTTACTATTTTTTATAATTTATTTATCTGCAATTGTTAATAAATGAATACAAATAATCTGATAACTTGCAGTTTAGGTCTATTAAATATATATATTAAAAAAAACTTTCAATTATTTATAATAGTTTTTATATATTTTTTTTTTATGCATTTCTCCTCTTCTCTAGCTTGTCTAATAAACCTGGCATTATACATTACAAATATTGTTTAACAGATGCTTTTACAGTATGCATTTTATCAGTTCATGCACTGATAATAATGCTGTTGTCTTGTTTATTTTCACAGTAAACACATGAATGCATTCATCGAGGACATACTCAGCAGAATACAGGACCTGTTAGAGCTCGCTCCACCGGTAACGGCTCATAAAACTCATATGAAGCAGTATGTAAATCAGCCCTAAACAGCTGTGTGATCGCTCATCTCTCTTCGTGTGTCCAGGAGAATGGCTTTCCGGTGCTGCTGAGCAGTGACGATCAGCTGTTCATGTTTGAGACGGCCGGTGTGTTGATCGTGAACGGAGAGAGTCCTGCCGAGCGAAAGCAGGCTCTGATGCGCAGTCTCCTGACGCCGCTGATGGAGGCGTTTCGCATGCTGCTCGCAAAACTGCCACAGGAGGCCAGTGAAGAGAGACAGGCGGTGCTGGCTGATTATCTGAGTCACGCTGTGGGATTCGCCAGGTAAACACACAACGCTGACAACGTGAAGATTAAGTAGATGTTGTGTTGAACTGACTTGAATCAATCTTTTAAAGTGACGAACCACCAAAATTTAATAGGCTAAATATTTTAACCTAGTTAATTAATCATAGTGCATTGTCAGTTGTTTGTATTACAAATGTTATATTTAAATACGCAAAAGACCACAATTAATGCACTAATTTTCATGTATTTGCAGAAGTACAGAATGCATACAGAAATAAGAACATTGGATAAATCCAGGTTTAAAATTTGTTTAATTTTGTTGACATTAGTTTTTTTACAGAAGAGGTTTTGTATTTTTTAATCACTTCATAGATCAGAAAAAAGTCAACAGCCAGAAAAAAAATGTAAATGTTAAATCAGATGAATGATGTATGGACGAATTGTTCTATAAAACCTTTCAGCGTGTAGATAGGAATAAAACTGTTATGTTTGGTGTATGTAAGTGTAGAGGAAACTTGTGGCTTTTAAAGTTATGTATTGTTTCTGAAATCTATAAACGCAAATAGATAAAGTAAATAAAATAAACACATAACTGTGTATTTTAGATGTTTGCTTTCCGCTAGCCTGAATGTTATTGGAAAGTTTGGTGTAAGTGTAGAGGAAACTTGTGGCTTTTAAAGTTATGTATTGTTTCTGAAATCTATAAACGCAAATAGATAAAGTAAATAAAATAAACACATAACTGTGTATTTTAGATGTTTGCTTTCCGCTAGCCTGAATGTTATTGGAAGCAAAAATGACCAAAATCTTAAAATAGGCCAGTGCCTAAAACATGGTTATTTTAGTTTAATGGTATCAAATAAATGTCAACTAAAATAAAATATTAAAAACCTAAATTTAAAAATACAAAAATATTTTAAAATGTAAAATTGCATTTTTTATTTCAGCTAATTTCCGAGGCAACATTTCTCAGTTTCATTAAGTTTAACTTGATTTATTAAAATAACTATAACCTAAAACTGGAAAGGATAAATGAACTATATAGACATATTTAAAAACAATAATAACTAATAAAAATGACAAAACGCAACAAAATTAGTAAAACTTTAACTACAATTACCATGAAAGCAGAAAATACAAAAATAAAATTAAAATGGTATTTCAATGATAGTAAAACAACACTGTAGTGTTGTCACTGTACCAAAATGTCAGTATTCGGTACTAATACCAGTGAAAATCCACGGTTCTCGGTACCAATTTCGGTACCAAAGCAAAACACAAAAACATGCAAATTAAAAAAATTTGACTATACTTTCATTAAATCCAAACTGTGTACATATTTAATTTTAAAGGGCTTTTGAAAACCTTCTAGAGTTATTCAGCCAAGAATAACAACTAAGTTAGCTAAAAAAATAAAATAAATAAAAAAGCCCAGAACTTCTGACTGATATGACACAAACAATTTGGTACCGAAGTACCGGGTCTTTTGACAACACTACAACACTGGCCTGAAAAAACAATGGTGTTTTGCCTGTTATTTGCTCTCAGACTCACAAGTCATGACATGAGTGGGTGCAACTTAAGAAAGCTTGACCAAATGAAGAGGTTCTAATCATTGCATGGTGATTTGTTCCTCTTCCTCAGTCGCACCAGCAAGGCGTTCAGTAACAAGCAGACGGTGAAGCAGTGCGGCTGCTCTGAAGTGTATCTGGACTGCCTGCAGACCTTCCTTCCGGCAATCAGCTGTCCCGTCCAGCGAGGGCCGCTGCGCAGCGCTGTGCGCTCCTTCCTCCACCGCATGATCATCTGTCTGGAGGAGGAGGTGCTGCCCTTCATTCCAGCCGCGTCGCAGCACATGCTGAAGGACTGCGAGCCCAGAGACCTGCAGGAGTTCATCCCGCTCATCAGTCAGATCACCGCCAAGTTTAAGGTACAGGGCTGCACGATTAATCAGAATAAACCAGTAAAGTTTACAGTAAATGCTGCTCCACACAAACTCAGTCTGTACATCTGATCCAAGTTTGGGTCAGTTAAACGTGCATTTGGAAATGCAAAATCTGTAATGCTTAGTGCGTATCAACAAAAGAGATGTTTAAGGCCTTCCTGTGGCTCTCCTTCAAGAGTTAGATGGTTCAGCGTTTGAAAATGAAGAAATCAAGACAACCATAAATATTATGGTTGGTGTTGTAATTAGGGCTGGGCGATATAGCAAAAAAATTTATCAACGATATAATGTTTCATATCGTTCGGTATCAATAATTATTGAAAATTTTTATTACCTTTTTTAAAACAAAAAGCAATAGAAAAAAAAAAGTTTACATTTAACCACTGTATTTATAATTAACACAATTTATTGAGACAAACAAATATTTTTTTTGTTTTAACAATCAAACACAATAAAAATTAAATATCTCATTTCGAATGTTTTATATGCAGATTAAATAGGTCTTTATTGTATAGGTCTAATTGTCTCCCGAGATCGAGTGCAGCAGTCATATTTGTCCATCTAAAAAATGCGCTGAATTTGCGTTCTGTGTGAATGGCTTGGTTTTGGTTTTAACCCGTTCAAGATCTTCTCCACATTGAGCTTCTATTTTGAATGAATAACGCAGCAACGGCGCATCTCGTGAACTAGACTAACATTAAAATGCAACAACGTCACTTACATCACTGCATGTGTACCATCGATAAATATCGATACCGTTTTATCGCCCAGGCCAAGTTGTAATTTTACAGTAAATTATTTTTATTTTTATTTTACAGTGAAATATAATTTAAATATATATAATTATTATATAATTTTTTACAGTGAAATATTCAAATAGTAACGATTCTCATTTTATTAATAATAATAATAATAATACATTACAATTTTATAATTACATTATTATATCATTTTTAACTATTAATAATTTTTTTCTTTTACAGAGAAATATTCAAATAGTACCATTTGTTTAGTTTTTTTAGTTATTTTTATTTAGTAGTAATAAATTATATAATATATAAGATTATTATATAGTTTTTAACTGTCATGTAATTTATTATTATTAATTATTATTGTTGTTATTTTATGTCCATACTGATATATAATCACACAATTTTAACCTGAATTTTTTTCAATTGCAATTTTTATTAGAAAAATCATGAGGGTTTTTTTTTTTTTTTTTTTTTTTTTTCTCTCCCCAAATCTTGCAGTCGTACTTTCGCGGACATTTAACTATGTTAGTGCTACAAGATGGTTTGCATTTGTACATTTAGCAGTGGTTCATAAAATAAATTAATATATGAATATAATTTTAATAATAATAATACAATTCATATAATAATCAGGGTTCCTATGCGGTTTGGAAAAGTATGGAATTTGGTTTAAGTATTTTCCAGGTCTGGAAAAGTATGGAAAAAAGAAAGCAGAGTATGGAAAAATATTTGTTTCCCCAGACATTTGCCCCCAAATTAGTTTTTTATAATAGAAAATTAAGAAATTAATGAAAATAAATGTATTTTACAAGAAGTGAGATTTCATGGCAGCTGTTTAGTGATTATTTAGTGATTGTCAAATATGCACTTTTTGATTATGCAGAATGCAGGTTATAAGCATTTTGGGTTTCTTCTTACAATATTCTTAGCACCGTATTACATAGCCTCAAGGACCTTTGCAAAAATAAAACACATGCAGACTTTCATGTGCGCACGAGAAACCATTAAACTTAGCATATAGACAATACACACTGAGCCACCTATTGTGACATCAGCCCATTTCGCGGTGTGGTGTCTTGGCCTCCACAAAGTATGCAATAAAGAGACCTAAGGCCTTGAAATATTGCATACTGCCCTAATGAAAGCCAAATTTTAAACACTTTTTACAGTACCAGTCTTTTATTATAGACTCTTGAACTTGGCAAATTTTGTCATCAGCCCATTTTGTTGCATGGTTTCTGCGCTGCCACAGAGGATGTGTTAAATTGGACGTTATGCCTTGATATTAGAGGTAATACAGTAAGAAAAGCCAAATTTTGAGCAAGTAGATCTGTTAATTCATGTGCATCCATTCTCTCATTTTATTCATAGTGATGCACAAAGGAAATAGGTTATATAAAACTAGAAATTATAATGCATAAGCATGCAAAAAATTCCCATGCGCATGTGAATAGTTTCTCGAGGGCACAAAAAAGTTTCTTGTGTGCATGCAAAAGTCTGTATTTTTTATTTTATTTTAGGGACTTGCAGGTTGTCACTTCGAGAAAATCTATGAAAAAAAACCCTGAGAAAATAATATTTACAGATGACTGTACTATGTGACCCTGCAGCACAAAACCAGTCTTAAATTTTTTTACTAGTGGGTGTAGGACACTATAGTTCATTTATGTAAGTGAGGATAGCAAAATAAACTAAACTGTGACAAATTATATCCAAACATTCTTGTTACAGTGGGCTACCAGTAAAACTGATACAAATTTGGGACCAAAAATTATTCAGACCGAGTCTGGGAAAAAACATTGAAGTTGAGGTTTGCATGAAGCTGGGTGACAGCATGCCCAGGAGACTATATGCTGTCATTAAGGCTAAGGGTTGCCCGACTAAGTATTGATAGTTGTGTAAATACTGTCATACTAACAGCTGTCTCATTTTTTGGTTGATTGTAATCCATTAGGCTACATAACTTTCTATCAAAGTTATCTAACATTATCAAGCTGAATTTGTTCTGACACAGTTTAACTCTGAGTTCTTGTTATATTTTATTACCATTTTCTAAACTATAGCGAATAAACTGTGATAATGTGAGAAATGTTGAAGGTGTCTGAATAAATTTAAGTTTTCACCTGCTTCCATCAGGATCAATGACGGGAGTCAAGCATTTCATTTAATTAAAACATTGTCAGATACACACAGATTCAATGGTCTGCACTAAAACTTGTCAAAATAGACTTTCAGTTTAACTTCAGGAAATTGTGACACATTAGTATTGTAAAGTAGAATGCATTTGTAAAAGTGATAATGATAATAAAGTTAATGTTTTTTTGTTACTTGATTAACAATTTTAATAAAAGAAATTCAATTTTAATTTGGTTAAAATGAAAAAGATTAAATTGATGTGTTATGCCTCCATTTGATTACCACCATTTTTGATAATAAATTTGTATTTTAAAAAAAAAAAAAAAATTTAAACAACAGAATTTCTTATAATAATAATAATAATTTCATTGGGTATTACTGTATAAATGTTAATAAATGATTAAAGTTTTAAGAATTCAATTGATTAGACATGCTTTTTGATGAATAAAATTTCATTAAAGGGGTCATGCTTTTTTGCTTTTTTAAAGATCATTATTTTGTGTATTTGGTGTAACAGAATATGTTGACATGCTTTAATGTTCAAAAAACACATTATTTTTCAAATAAGTTTTTTTTTTCATCTTGCTTAAATCTGTGGCCCAGTATCTATGTGAGCATGCTGAATCTTCTAAAAGGAAGTACAGACTGATCTAGACTGCAGTATCATAGATGATGAGTCTGTATCTGATTGATATCGAACTGTTTTTCTCCTCAGGAACTCTGTCAAGTGCTTCAGCAGCCGGATGTTAAGGTTCTGAAAAACTACATGAAGGTATTTCAGGAGCCTTCATGTTGTCTTCATATACCATTGAGTGTTAGGTTTTATGTGGCCGTTTTAACACACTTCTATTGTGTGTGTGCAGGTTTTTTTCCAGCAGGCCAAACTTTAAAACTGGAACTGTCAAGCGGAGCCACTTACAGACCACCATAACGACTTAGCATAGGAGCTACTTTTGCACTTAAAGAAGCGTAACCACACCCATCCTGTCTGTGGGACACGGACCCCCAACAGGAGTCACGTGGGGATTGGCTGTCATGTGACGTGACCACGCCCCCACACCGACCTTGGCCCAATCAGAGTTGTGCATGGAGGTTTAGCAACCCAGACCAGAGGCAACGTCTGCGATTGGATGAGACGCCATACTGTAGGTGGGGTTTGTGAGGGTGGGCGGGGCTTCAGTCCTAGACAGAATTTCAAGGGAAAATGCGTTTCCATTTGAAATACAACAATTGTTTGGAAATATAACTTACATGTTACAGAAAATTCTAGAATGAATTTAATTAAATGTTGTTGTTTTTTTTGTATGCTAGAAATCTGGATTTTTCTCAAATTTCAGCGTAAGAAGGGCCGGTTTAAGAATATTTAATTGCTAATTTTTCGTTTTTCTTTTTACTTGCATAAATGAAGCATAGGTTTTAGTTTGATGTGATGAGGTTAACAAATAGAAGTGCTCTTGATGTGGGCTCAACCTGGCAAATTGTTTGCTTTTTGGAATGGAAAATGTCTTTTTTTCTTTTCTTTTTTTTTTACTTTAATTGTTCATGAACCGCTAAATCATCAGCAGTCCCCTCTAATTTTCCATATCATATGGCATTCCCATCAAAGCTGTACTGTAATCCCGTATCGTTTCCCAACACTAAACGTTTATCTGCTCCATCACAGTCTCAGATTCAGTCGTTTAATGCCTTTGAAGCCCATTTGAAATATGCAATGTAATGTTACGAACTGTGAAAATACTACGAGGTGGTTTGATCCTTGGATCTGCAGTGTTGTGCAGCTAGCAATTCTTTTGTTTGGAAATGTACTTTGTGTAAAGTTTAAACTCTCATCAGAGAGACATTCGGTTCATATCTCTCTGCTTTTACGTCAGTCTCGTTATGGCTGACAAAATGACATTGTTGACAATCTGTGTTGGATTTTTAGAGGCGCTGCACGTGTATTAACCCTTTCAGCCCTGGATCCCACTTCAGACAGAAGCGCCCATCAAAGGTTTGGAGAAACGTTTCTTGGGTCTCAACATCACATTGGCTTTAATCATGATAGGAAAAAAAGCTTAACCCAAAACAAACTGGATGAAGCACTTTGCCATAAGAACTTTGACATGTAACTTCTAACATGAGAATGACTGTTAAAGATTGTTTCTCTGTCATAACCCATGAGACTTTGCTTCAGACGTCCTGTGATTTGACCTGTTAAGCTCCGGTCCTGCTCGTCAGACCCACTGTGTTTATGCCAAAAAGAGGAGAGAAAGACACGAAAGGTAGACTGTGTAAACTTGATTTATTTTTGATATGCTGGGACAGGCCCTCTCACTCCCTTTTGTGGATCTTTTGTCATGACCAATAAAGTATTTACTAATCTCCGTCTGATATCCAGCTGGAGGTTTATTTGAAGCGGCTGCGTTCATGTACTTGTGCAGATTCAGGAGAACAAGCAGAGGCGCTGATGCAACGCTTTTATTCCACTTTAGTAGCTCTCGGTGTAAACATTCACCCTCGAACCCAACACGAGACGCAAATAATGCCTGAGCCACGTCACCTTCATACGTGCTAAATATTTGAGATGCAGAAACTTGCGTGCAGCTTCTTGATGTTTCAGCCTTTAATCACAGCGATCGGTCTGAGCTTGATGGCCTTTTTACTGATGCCGGCGTCGTGGCACGTGTTCACCACGTCTGTGACATTCTTGTAGGATTCAGGAGCCTGAGGTGCAAGAAGATAATGTGTTAAAAACATGCATATTGATAAGATACTTTTTTTTTTAAATGGCTGATCTACTTAATAGGTTCTTCAATATAGAGCCTGTTAAGCTTAACAGTTTAACAATAAGTTAAACAAGAAAAATTAATTTGCAACAATTTAGGTCACAAACAACTTAAATGCAACAGCATAAAATTATTCAATGCATTTTGTGATAAAAAAAATAATTATATATATATATATATAATATCTAACATAAAAATATGAGAATAGTTTCAGCTCTTTTTGGAAACTTTTCCAAAAAGAAGTTTAAACCGTTCCAAAAGAATTTAAACAGTTTGCTAACAGAAAGAAGAAATTAATTTGCGACCATTTACATCACCAAGCAACTTAAATATGAAAGCATTATTTTGAGTGATGATTATTTAAAAAACAATTACATTAATTTATAAATATATAATATAAAAATTAGAATAAATTAATTTGCAGCTTAAATATAATAGCATAAAATCATTCAATGCATTTTACTGTAGGCTGATTATTCAAAAACTATAAATAATTGTCAAAATATAAAAATAGTTTCTGCATTTTTGATGCTCAACTCTTTCCCCGCCATTGACAAGTTCTCTCGTCTTTTACAAGAAAACGCTTTTTTACAAGTTTTTACGGCTTTCCGGCCCCGAGTTTTTATACACTCGGGGCCGTTATTACACATCTAACGCCCTAACATACACATCTAACATACAAAAACGAGCGATCTCTTATGTAAACCGATGCATATGAAAAATAATGCGATCATCAGCAATAGACAGCATAAAAATGAAAACTGCTTAATGTTACGGAGTAAAATGTTGATCCAGGAAGTGGTATATGTCTGTGCAAGCTTTGGAGGTATTGATGGAAACGATTTACTGGATATATGCTTTGATAATCATACTGAATATTATCCAGATGTAGTTTTTAATAAAAATAAACCACATCGAAAGGAAAGTCATTTCCAAACTTTCAGAATAACATGCATTAATCGTTCACAAGAAATCCTGTGGCCTGTAGCACGGAGCGAGATGAGTTTCAGAGTAGGTTTAGAGTTGACAAAACCAAACAGGATCAGCGGGCTCACAAAATTCGATATAAGTAGCCGGGTTTCCATCCAAGTTGTGAATTTAACTTGTGCGCAAAATTTTAATATCGCATAAAACATTTGCGAATAAGCACCATTTCCATCCAAC